ATTAACATTCATTAATTTTGCTAACTAAATAGTGTTATTTTCCCCACTATTAATAATTTTTGGTAAACAAAAATGTTACAATTCTATCATCATAATTAATGATTTTATTGTTAAATAAAAAAAGTCAATATAAAAAATGTATTTTATATAGTTCTTTAAGAATATTTAAAATTCAATTTTCTGAAACCAATGTGCAGCCATTCAAATATTTTATTATTCAATTGTTAGTTAATAATAAACTCACCAACACGGAACGTAGATGCCACATGAATCAAGAAATATTCAATATCTTTTTTAGTGGTTCACTTTTATTTTTAATTATTTTAAATTTTATTTTTAAATTTTTCTTCCGTGAACGATTATCACATATAATGCATGAATACAGGTCGCACATACATTGTATATGATATCCTTGGATCTACTTGAATTTGAAACCAGTAACTGCGAATGCGTTGCCAGACGTCTTAACCATTACGTCACGGAACATTTTAACTCTTATTTTATGTCAGTTACAATCTTCCTCTTCGCATCGACCCCCACTTTATTCTGATAACTAACCCTTTGTCTGGAGTAATTTGTCGCTAGAATGCTTGTTTGGTGGGTCAATTGAATTGTAAGGTAGCTTGGAATTTTTGGAAAGCCTGGCACTGAATGTATTTGATTAAACAATTAGTTGGCTTCTAATGTTTTTTGTAATTTTGTATGTTGTTTGGAGTTTCGAATTGGCATTTTTCTTTCTTTCTTTTACCCACAGTAAAAAGCAGAAAAATAAAAATCTTCATAATAAACTTTTTTGAGAGTTTCAATTAAATTTTTTCACTTTTTTTTACAAATAGGAGTAAAAAATCTTTAAAATATTAAAGGAAATGACATCAAGATTAGAACCACAGATAGTTCAATGTTTACAAAAATTTTAAATTTTGCAAAGATTTCCTAATTTATTTTCATCCTAAATTTCAATTTTAATGATATTTTTTTAAAACTTCTCTGGTTTTTACTTATTTTCAGAGCTTCAAAAATATTTATAAAAATTTGCTTATTGAATTATCTCATATTATCAGAAGATACCAAAGAAACAACCCATTGTTAGGACAATTATAAAGTTTTGACCGTTTGAAAATTTAAAATGCTAAGTATCAGTTTCAGTCCAATGTGGCATTAAACATGAACAGTTAATTAGAAACATGAAAAGTGAATAAGAAACCTAATAATTCAACTGCAAATATCATCATTGAAGCAACAACGCTCGTATTGTGTACGAAGAACGAAATATTTTACAGTTGCTAACAAATGTTTATCTCCAAATTTATCATACATTCGGCTGTGAATATCGCAATGACTATTTTATTATTATTTTATTGGTCTACGGGAGCTTAAAAAGTCGCTTTAACTCATCTGTTGTTGGTGTGGCTTTTTGTTCGTCGTCATTCAAAAGGTGAGTGTGGAAGAGTTTTCAATGTTTAAAGTGGTTGTTAAATCCAAAAATTCTCAACGCAGAGCACTTTTATTTTCCTATCTTCAAACTTTTATGACCCTATGTTAAATCATTCCCAGCCTAACAATTGCACTGCAAAGACTGCTTTTGTAACTCCAACGTTCTATATTTTCGACAGTTAACACAATAGCGCAAATTTTAGCACGAATTTAGAAATGTTTTTTCGGGTTTTCAACAATTTAAAAAATTGTAAGCACCTGTTAAAAGTTTATAATTGACTTATTAGTCTAATTGAGCGTGACACTTTATCTAAATACATTGAACTCTCTGAAAATATTTTTTTTTAAATAAGTAATTCAAACGTTTAAAATGTTCCAAAGTTTTTAACAAGATGAGCTAATTTGAAATTTTTTTTTATTTTGACAAACTGAACCAGTGTAGTTTATTTCATATGTGAGTTGTTGAGATTCAATCTGATGCCAAATAGAAAACTGCATCCTTTACGATTATTACACACACCACAATATATTTTTATTTTATTGTAATATTAATTATTTAAATAATCATTCCAAATCGTTAAAAACTGAAAAATTAGGGCGATAAATCAATTTTTTGTTCTTTGTTAAACGGTTTTGACAAATGAGGAACAACAAAAGCAACCTAGTTTTATATACAATTTACGTAATACAGAAATTATTTACATATTTTGTTGTATTTTATTGTAAATTATTTGTTATTTTATTTTTTTTATGGAGTATTTACAAAACATTTTTCTACAATTATTTTTTAAGACTTTTTTTCAATTTTTTTTCTGACAACCACCGCTGACACCAGCAGGAAAAGTTTACGTCAAGTGCACTGGTAAATCAATAATTTCCTATTCAAAATAAGTGATTTTTTTTCAGTTAGGTGGGGGGTTGGCTTTGAAGGGATGCTAAAAATAAAACAAAACTGAAAAGTTAATGAGTAAAATACTAATTAGGAAGACGACAATGGCGATGATGAAGATGATGTTGATGATTACGATGGTGATGAATGGTGATAGTGATGACGACGATGATGATGATGTGAGTGATTGATGGTGAGTGGATGATGACGACGACGACAACGATGATGACCTAACATCGATGACGATGATTGGATGATGTAGTTTTAACTTGAAGGATGCAACGTCATTAGCCAGAACACTAATTATTTTTTGAAAAATTTTTTTAATAATGAAATAATTAATACGGCGAAAGGGATAAATTTTCATAAAAAAACATTCACCGCAAAATAAATTTAACAGGAGCGACTTGTTAGCGTTCGTGAAAAATGACTTGTGATAAACTAGATAATGAATTTTTCATCTCCTAATAATGAGATCATTAAACTTGAGAGCGCTGTATCATAAAGCTCCGAATATATTAAAATAAAAATAGAGAATTCAAAAGTGGCTAAGCAAAAACAAAAAAATAAGAATGATGAGGTACGCAAGGGACAGTACCAATTACCGGCGGGAAGGTGGGTGATTTGGCAACGTGGAATAATTTTGTAGTCTTGTAGACAGATTTCCCTTCTAACAATATACGTGTAGATAGTTTTTTGTTTCATTTCAACATTTTTTTGTATGTTTAATTAGAATAGTTTCTTGTTTCTCACTGTTAATTTTAAAACTTTATAATCAACAAAATAATCCTTTGACGGAAATAAGCCAAATTTTTGTATTAAGGTGATTTTTGGGTTAAAATTTTAAACGAAATAAAAAAGCTGATTTCTGTTAAAAAAATAATTTTACTAAAAAATAATAAACAGTTAATAATGTTCGTCCTTATTAGCTATACAAAAATCTCGCAACAATATTAACAATTACAACATCAACATCACCGCCGTCAACATCACCAGCAGTTCATCAGCATCTTCGCTATAAAATGACATAATCAACAAGATGACAAACAACAACATGACGATCACTAACGACTCCATCAGCTTCATCACTTCCACGCCAATCATCTTCAACAACATCATTATAAACATCCTGAAACGATGCATAACCCGCAAACAACTTCAAAAACTCCGACATTGTCTAAATCAAAAGTGATTTTATTCAGTCAAATTTTTTATTTATTTTTGTATACAGTATTTAATACTCCTTCCCAACGACCTCCTCCATTTACGATTCTCTCTCATTTCCGACAGTTTTGTTTCTGACGGATTATTTTCACATTAAGCGTCACTCCCTCCAAAACCCGACCAACGACTTTGAAAAACACAAAAAATTATCATTGAAACGTAAGATTTACGATTTTTTTTGTAAATTTTTCAATTTTCAGTATACACATTCAAATCACGCCATCCCTATTTACATTTTGTCAACTACCTTAAATTATTTTACCTCAACTTGGTCAAACAATTTTTAAAGTTTAAAATTAATTTAAAATAAACCAACTTAAAGTAAATTAATTTTTCAACCATTCGTTTATTTGCTATTTTTAGAGACCTTAAACGTAAGACAAACTTCAAAAAAAAATAAGCCCCAGCAAATTTTAAATAAACTTGCTATGGTATTTGTACTGTAGTGTACATATGGGTAGTTTTTTAATTACCCTACAAATGCTTTTGATCAAACGCATGCTTAGAAACAACAACGCGTGTATTAATAACTCTTACTTTTCGGTTATTTCATTCTAACATTGACAACCATACACTAAGAAATAACACGTTTCTACAATTAAATTTTTTATTTAAATAGAAATCGTCTAAAACATCATCCGTACATTCAACAACATCAACTACAACAACGTTATCTTTCCTAAGGAACTTTGCTAACAACACTTACAACAACACCATACTCAATGAACAAAACAACAACAACAACATTAAACTTTCACAACAACCAAAATAGCGTAATAATAATAATAATAAATAATAATAATATAATGAAATAATAATAATTTCTCACTCATAGAAACACCAGTCTAGTCCATTGCACGTATGTTATTTACTTAATTTCAATTGTGACTCTTTCAAATTTGATGGCTGTAAGTAAGTTAAGAAACAATCTAGTCGGTAATAAATATTTTTTAATGACAAATTCATTCCTTAAACTTTGCTCCATACAAATTTTGCCGTAGATCCATAATTATAAATATCGGTGGTTTTAAAAAGTTATCCTCAGAAAGTTTATTAATCATCCAAAATGGGTTACAACAGGTTAAACATTGCATCAGATTTGCTAAATTTGACATCATCGTCGATAAAAATATTTAAGAAAACGTCATCATTGCTAGCATCCATCATAACGACATCGTTACTGGTGATCTCAACATCGTCGTCGTCATCACCGATTTCCTCATTTCCGGTTAAGGTGGGTTCTGGCTCGAATCACACTTCGCATCAGCATCACCACAATCCAGCAGCACCTCATCATCACATGCCACTCAGCACCTCATCGTGTCAACCTCCAAAATTTATTCTCAGCAACAACAATGATGTTGTTGACAACAACATCAACAACAACAACGAAGGCAATGATGATACCGACAACAACAACAACAACATTAATAATGGTATTAACAACAACAACATGAATGACAATTTTCTCTATTACACCAACCAGACATTCCACCACAACAATCACCAATACTCCGACTTCCACCCATTCCTAGACGATCTGTACCACGACCAACAACAATTCCTCTACATCGATTTCAACAACAGCATCACAAACATCAGTCTCGAGGATCTGAAAGAATACCTGGAGACGAACATGGGTCCTAAGTACAAAAGTCTCAGTGAGAGCATCATACTAACTATCATCTACTCCCTCATTTTTATATCTGGGATAGTCGGGAATGTCTGCACTGGATTGATTGTTGCCAGGAGGCAAGATATGCGTACTACTACAAATTTCTATCTATGCAGTCTGGCCGTTTCTGATGTTATAACACTGGCTGTAGGTTAGTTAGTGTTGTTGTTGTTGTGGTTGTTGTTGTTGCAGTTGTTGTTGCAGTTGTTATTGTTGTCGTAAGTTTTTTTAACTGTTGCTAATAATAGTATTAATAGTTGTAGTTGTTATAATGGTGGTAGTAGTAGTAGTAGTAGTAGTAGCAGCAGCAAAAGTCAGTAGCTGTTAGTAGTATCGTCAATAATAGTAGTAGTAGTATTCGTTTTTATTTTCGTTATCTGGGTGTGTCTGGTTTAATAACATTGGTTGTAGATTAGTTGTAACAACTACTAATAGTAGTAATAGTATTAGCAGTAATAGTAATAGTAGTAGTAGTAGTAGCGGTAGTAGTAGTAGTAGCAGCAGTAGTAGTAGCAGTAGTAGTTGTAGTAGTAGTAGTGGTAAGTGTTGTTTTAATGGCGTTGAATTTTCATTGCATCATCGTATGTTTAGTGAATGGAGTATTTTTACAGCGTGTGATGTTCAGAGGAAAAATTATTTTAACCTCGCAATTATTTTTGTATTTTGAAATTGAATCACTCGAACGTTTCTGAAAATTCATTGCGAGATGATAGCGACTTTTTTAAAGTTATCTTTCGAGTGGTTGCGTGCTGTTGTCTGCTGATTTTTGTTTAGATAAATTTTTTTATGTTCAACTATCGTCATCAAACTTTTATTAATTTATCTCATTTTTGATTAATTTAAAAGCTTGTTAAAAAACTACGAAATTTTTTTAGATGATAATTTCTGGCTAGGTTTCAAATAAAAAATGCAAATTTTAAATTAAAAGCTAAATAATTATTTATATTTTTTTTTCCAAACCCATAGAAACCATGATTTTGAATTTAATGTGGATTGAAATCTTGATGATTACTTAAATAATTTGAAAAGTTAAACATTTGTAAAAATATTAATCCCAAAAAATTAGATAACTTGATTTCTTTTTGCTTTTTCACAAGAGCACACACACACACACGCACACGCTCAAACACACACATACACTTTTATAAACATACCTACATGGAGACAGGCATACACAAAGCCAGTATGAGCCGTTTTGAGGTCCAATATATATAAATATATATTTTTTCTTTTATAAATCTTTTCTAATGATGCATGCTTGAAAATTTTCTTCCTAATGGTGTGAATGAAGTTGAAGTTTTTAATGATAGAGTTTAGTTGTTGTTGTGTTTATGTAAGTGCTACTTTGTTGTGTGTAGTTGTTAGGATGTTGCGTGGCGTTGGAATGTGGTTGCGAGATGTCTTGCGGTTGTTAGTGTTATGTCGTTTTAATGTGTTTGTTGCTCATTTTTTGTTTATATGCAGTTGCGTTATTTTCTTGTTTTGATAGATTATAGAAATGTTAATATAACGCTTTCTCTATTTGACGTTTGAAGGTTTTGCTTTTTTACTTTCTGAAAGGTACAAATTTATTTTTAATTTGATACTTGAAATTGAATCGCTACACCGTTGGAGTAACTCTTGAAACTTTATAATTTTAAGACGTCCAAATGTTTTTTTATCAATATCTTGAAAAGAAAAATATTTTTTATTGAAAGAATTTTATTAAAAAAAGAAGCGAGAGGTCGCGAGTTCATTTTATCACTGGCATTCATGCTATTCCAGATTTCATCAGCTTTTCGGACGCATTGGATTTTTTTGTGTGTTTGTATGTTGTGTGTGTTATGTATGTGTGTGCTTGTATGTTGTGTGTGTATGTGAAAGTGCATGTTTTTGTGTCAGTTTGCTTCAAATTTCGTAGACTTTTTTGATATATTCAATTTTGTTTTTCAATAAAGGATTACAGTCAAAAGATTAGAGTTCCTCATAATTTCTTTGTGCGGTTAGATAAATTGTGAAAATGTCTTTTGAAATGAAGTCTCTTCATCAATGATAATCAATGCCATTTTTTTAATTTTAAATTATTTATTAATCAATAAACGCAAATAATTATGTGGCCGGCTTAGTGTATGTTAACATTTTTGGAATGCCAAACCTTAACCATGATCCAAGTCAATGTCCTGATGTTTCGGCCTGTGACATCACCCCTTCATACTCCACAACATCCAAAAAAAATGTCGCCACCACGATCGGCGACATTTTTTGTGTGTGCAAAAATCATTTAATCGCGAAAATTGACGCATCTATTTTTTGCGATCCCCTGCTCATTCATCCATCATCCCATCCATCACTTCGTCCATCAGTCATCAAATGTTTGAGCTTACCTCAGAAGATCAATTCATTTTACCAGAACATCCCTTGGACTACACTGAAAATCATTGGCTCATTTCATTTTTCTTTCAGGTTTTAGTTATTGAGAAATTTTTTTAAAAACATTTTTTCAAATAATTATTTTATCTAGTTATATTATTTTTAGTTGAATTTTTCAAATTTTAGAATAACTATTTTAAAAATTATATATTAAGAAAACTATTTGTTGTCTTCTTAAGCGTTTTTTAATTTTCAGTTTGTCTTCTCTGGCTTACAATAACTGGAAACAATTATTTCGTGACGAGAAATTTTTCAAGTGCAAATTTAACTAACGATGAAAATGTTTAAAAATGTTGAAGTAAAAAATATAATTATATTTTGAAAAATTTTCGGTAAAAATTTGAAAAATTGCTATTAAAATCATTAATTGTCATGAACTTAAACTCAGAAATAGTAATCGTTGCACTCATTATATTGTCTGCAGGCATGGGCAACACGTCAGCGCATGCAATGAAGAACATTCTTCTCGAGGAATTATTAAAAATTTGTTATTATGTTGTGAAAATTTTCAAAAAGTTAATAATCCGTAAAATCTACAAAATTATAACATCTGAATAAATTCTGAAAGAGAGACAAGAATCCTTGAAAATGTTTCTTTTATAATCTTTGAAAAGCATCAAAATTTTAATTTAACTCCTTAGTTTTTAAATGGACAAGAAATAATATTAAAATTCAATAAATGATGACATAAATGATTTAAAAAATTATAAATACATGATGATCGATCATGTGTGTACGTGTGTTCGTATATTTTTGCTTGTAATTGTGGGTTGTGTGTTTGTTTGTGTGTGTGCGTGTGTGTGTTTGTTTGGCGGTTATTATTTTCAATAAAAATCGTCCTTAAACATCTCTATTTCACTTTATCATTTTAGATTCCACATCTCGCTATAATTTAACTTTAGTTGTTATAAGATGTTTAAAAAATGAAATATGAAATAAACGTTTTTTTTAATTCAATCTTTGAATTATTTTTACAAAGTTGTTATAATTTTTTTTTTCTCTACAAGAAAAATTTCATTCATAACGAATAATAAATGAATAATTACTAAAATCATATAGCGCACTACATTCGCGTTTGCCCAGACACCACAGTTGCGCCCACGAACTATGACGTAACAATTTTTATACCATACTTCACGGAATAACTCCCGACGCCATCAGACAGATAGATATTTGCAATAATTAAAAGCAAACATTCATTACTCTACGCATGCTTAATCAGCGATGGATTATCAAAAATATATACTCTTTACTAATCATTTATTTTTATTTTTTCAATATAAAAATATAAAATAATAATAATTAAACTTCAATTTTATGTTATCGTGAACGAATAAAATAAATTATTAAAAAAATATAAACCGTCCAAATCACTAAAATCAAAACGCTAATTAGACCTAAATTTCTTAACAATTACATCGATAACATCACTACAATCCCATCTTTAATCAATGAAAAATATTCGGGGTCTCAAGAAATTCTAAGTCAGGCAAAAATCTCAGACTACAACTAACTCCCACCTACACTGTAACATCCAAGCAACTGCACTAACCACACTCACATCGCTCTCGCACGCCTCATAACGAATGATTACGGATTTAAGATCAAATCATCTTACACGTTTAGTTTCACAAAATAAAATTAATTCTATTTCAATTTTGATAATTAATTAATGTATTTAATTAACTAAATTGCAATTCCTGTAATTAATGTGTTTGTCGGATAGCGTTGTTTATGTTTTCGCAGGCTTTTTTGTTTTTATTTGGGTGATTTTTTTTGTTTTTTTGGGGGGGTTTTTAGTCTTTATTCGCGTGGTCAATAAATGTAACAAATTACTTTGGCTGGCCCGACAACATTTATTCCTCAGGGAATTTTGCTGCTAACTAAGCCCCGTTCGAATTGTTTTTTTTACAAACATGTTTGCCGAGGCCTTAAAGGTTGAATTCATGAAGTTTGATTTTCGGTGAAAAATAACGCGTTGTTTAGCGCGTTGTTTTTCTTCGCGTAACTTTCCAACGAGGATAATAAAATGTGCGGAAGCAATAAAATACGCCCATGTTTTGTGTGGCTAGACTAAATTTATGCCTTCTCATCCACGCTTTAATTTCGTTAAATAAGTCATGAGACTTTCTGCTTGTTTATTGCAATTAAATACCCGAATCTGGGTATATAACTCTGTATTTTTCATTATTAAATACCCAGCTTATTTGTATAAACTTGGGTAGACATAAATATAAGTAGAAACATACATTTGTTTCTAATGCGTCGTTTTCATTATTTACTCGTAATGGAGGTAGGTTCAGTTTTGTAAAAAAATTTTTAATATAAATTTTGTTTAAAATTCGAAAGACTCTTTAGCAGATAATTAAAGTATAAAAAGTTATTTAATAAGCTTCCATTTCAATTTGCAAACACTTGCAATGTTTTGCGAAATTTGAATTGAACGAATGGAGAGCTCCATCCGAGTAGGAAACAATTAAAAGAGTTTCACCGTTTAAAAAGAACGTCCATTTCTTACTGAATATTATAAAATTTAAATCATTAGTGATACTAAATATGTTTTTAATGAATATTATTGCTATTATTTTTGCTATAATAAAATGCGCAAAATATCATTTTATTTTATATTTTCATGAATGTATGTGGGCCGATATATAATAAAATTACTGTTCAACTTGCATTCGAATCCAGTTCCTGCTACATCAGAGCCAAACACCGTAACCATAACACGCCAGCAAATAA